AACTGTTTTTCATGAAGCGGCACGCAAGATAGAATTAAAAATTTGAAATTATTTCATTGGTCCACTCCATACAGACGCGATCACTGAGCTGAAACAAAATGTACAAACGACTTGTACACGGTTAAGCCCTCGTTAAGTCCCCGTGCGCGCTTAAGTTGCTACGACTGCGCTCGCGTCGCACTGCGCCTTTGACGTTACCGACTTCGAGCGAATCCGACGCACCATCACGCGCTAGCCAGCGTCGTCTCATGCCACTGCCTTCACCCTACCAACTTGTGATATCACGCGCCGTGTTAGAATTTTTAACATTTTATTTTTGAATTATCTTTTGAATATATCTATGGCATGATCCATCGGCCTGTACTTGTTCTAAACTTTGGGGCTTCGTGATTGTGAGAGTTTTTGCATACAATTTCATCATCGTTCGCGAGACAATACGCTCTGCAACCTTTGTGTATCATCACGCATCTCCAAAAAATGTGTCCCGTATGACGGTTCACTCTTATACGTTTGTAAACGTATTCGTTGCAGACTAGTAACGGATATTTTTTTCCAGTGGCTAAGTACGTGATTTCTGAAAATAAAACCAAATATTATTCCTTCACAATGGAACATACGACTATTATTATTGCAAAGCAAAGACACCGTCATGCAAACATTCAAACTTCATACTTATTATTTTTATTTATAATAATTTGACTATTGACAACAGAGAACTATAAAATAATCTTAAATATTAAGAACACTATTATCTTTACATCTAATCATGATATTAATATTGTAAATTAATTTTGTTTAAAAAAAGTCCCGCTGCGTTTCTTACTGGTTCCCACGACAGAGGTTCCTCCGAATTGAATAAAATGATTCTATTTTATTCTATTCCACTTTAGAGCAGTTATTGTGAAATGTTTTAATGATATTTATATCAATAACGTTGAAACAATGACGTTGAACTATACAGTAGATGTAGGCAACTATATTTTTTATTACTTTAAAGTTTTTAAACGATTGAACAACCAGTACATGACTTTTAAATAATAGAGAAAAATAAGTGATCTAAAAACCGCTGCGCGGTTACACCTAGGTTTAGCCTGTTACAATTACAATTAGATTCAACTGATTGCACTTAGTTAAACTTAATCATTAGATCCGTTCGAATAATTTATAAATTATATAAATATCCATTGCTTCTGGCCGCAATTTAACCTGCAATCGTTAGCATTACTTGATATATTATGTGCTTCAGAATTTTGACAATGTTAATAAAAGTCATGGTTATTTTAATTATTATTCGGACTTCACTATATCTGGTTTTTGCCACGAATACATCGGGACGGGACTAGACTAACCTACTGCAATAGACTGCACCTAGTTAGCCGGTTAAGCCTGGGTAAACGAAATTCGGCTTTTAGGAATGACACGTAACATCATAAGGAATTTAACATTTAAAGTAATAGAATTTTGGTAGTAACTTGACCGTTAGCGGATTCGGATCGTTAAAATAAGATTTTTTTTGACACTGACCAAAATACTAAACGTAGGTATTCATTTTTAACTTCCCGCTAAGAAAATTGAAAATTTTCAAAAATAAGTAAGTTACTGGTATCACCTCGATTTTCGAAAATCGAGTTTTCGTCAGATCTCGACGTTTTGAGATCCCAGGAAGCTATTCTGACGAATTTCACGTGGACGTCCGTACGGATGTATGTATGTGTGTGTGCTAAAGAATCTAAACCTTTCAAAACTTTTGAACGTCTTGATCGATGGAGATGCGGTTTGCGGCGTTCTAAAGATCTCAGTGTGGAATATACTTGGTGATAATATGAACTGATTCGGACAAGTAAATTTTGAGGAATCTCAAAAATAAAAATTTTGTAAAACTTTATTTTGGAATAACTTTTAAACGGCTTTACCGATCTATATTTTTATTAGCGTGACAAACGAGCACACAGTCCACCTGACGGTAAGTAGTTGCTGCGGCCCAGACATCTACATCTATCCTCGATTACGAATCAAAATGCAGATGCGTTGTCATCCGTGAGGACTAAAATGGAATGCCTCGTTTTCATTAAAAAGGGTCTCCGGTCTCTACACTCACCATACGAAACACAGTAGCGTTAAGCTAAGTAGGTATTTCACGCTGGTATTCTGTGAGAGCGTTGTTCTTCCCCGGTCGAGCCGATCCATTCGTGCTACAACTATACTATATACTAATATAACTGCAATATGGCTCTACCACGTATCAAAAACTAATCAGCTCTTAACCTCAAAAAATGACGTTTAATGCCGTTTGGAAAATAAAAATCGGTTCATTCGTCCGTGAGATATCGAAGGAGAAAGAATTTGAAAAAAAAACTTTTTGTTTTTAAACATAAATTCGAGATTTCGCAACATAATTCGGTGAAATTTGGAGCGCTATGCATTTGAAATTAGCGGGAAGTTCCAGGGATGGCCTGCAGGGTCAACCAATTTTTTTATAGGGTAGGGTGACAAACGAGCGCACAGACTACCTGATGGTAAGTGGATGCTGTGGCCCGTAGACATCTACATTTATCCCCGATTAAGAATCAAAACGCAGTTGCGTTGTCACCCCTGAGGACCAAGATAAAATGCCTCGTTTCCAGTAAAAAGAGTCTCCGGATCGCTACACTAACCATACGAAACACAGCAGTATTAAGCTGCTATTTTACGCTGGTATTCTGTGAGAGTATAGTCCTTCCCCGGTCGAGCCGACCCATTCGTGCTACAACTATACTACTAATATAATTACAGCATGGCTCTACCACATAAAAAATATTTAATTTCCGTTGACGCTGCTTACCGTCAGCTAATGAGGAATAGTTATACTGCCGTCTGTTGGAAGCTATAGGAAATACTTAAGAAAATTTTCTGATCCGTCTGACAAGCGTAACGATTAGGGGAAATCTAAAACAACGGTATAAGCTCATGATTGATTGTGAATTGATAAAAAGAAGCAATAAAAAAACATTCTTCTTTTTTTTTGTTGCGTCTTCGTAACTGCCAGAACGAGCAGAAGTCAATGAGACGATTTGGCAATAGACCAGTCGCCAGGCTCTCCAAAATTTTATGCAAACTGCAATAGCGTCACCTACTAAAACTGATTTTTGGATTATAAAGATTAATTTAAAAAAAAATTGTTTGTTTCTTTAAAAATATCACACATTACATAGGTATGGGAGTAAGTGAGACATCCTTTTAAGTAAATATATACTTGTGGCAGGATGTCCCGCTCTTCTATAGCTAGAATTACATTTTTTATGTGCTTGCTTGTCAAAGAAATTATCATTTTTTTATTTCTTCCTTAAATATGGAAAATTCAATGCTAATATCTTCTTCATGTCTCTTTCTTTTGCTGCGGCTTGTGATATTTTTGATGGAAGAATTAGATTCTGCTTTATTTATTGCTGTCAGGTTTGTTTCCGAGAACGATTTATTCGTACTGGATTCCATAGTTTTATACTAGTAGATAATTAATTATTTGATTTTTAAAATCTTATAACATGTTGTGCTGTGCGCGCAGCTTTATTTTCTCTTTATAAAATAGTGGATATTACGCGTACGCTTATAGGTTAATGTGAACAATAGTCGTATAGGAGGGCGTGTCACGTAGTGAGATGTTTAGCCAATATCAGTACAATGGGCATGTATTTATTCCAAGATAGTGCAAAGTTGGCTTTTATGATTGGTGCTTTAATTAATAGATAGATGTGACTCATGCGCCGTTTCGATGTACTAGCCTCGCAGGCACGACGGAATTTTTCTCGCCAGCTCCTCCACAAATATGTTCTCCTAGTTTAGCGACTTTATTATGAAGATTATTAATTTATCAAATAAAAATCAACAATCACGGAATAGTAAACGTTTATATTCGACCACAGGCAGGAGCGAAGAGGAAAGATAACATGTAATAAAATCTGTTTCTGTTATTTATAGTAATGTATAACAGAAATCATATCAAATACTGAACAGGCTATATTTTATCAAATGTTGAGCTTGGGTAAAAAATATCGATATATCGAAATATCGATATTTTCTTATAAAATATCGCCGATATTTTTAATTTTCAAAAATTTATCGAAATATCGGTAATTTATTTTAAAGTATCGAATTCGTTTAATTTCGATATATTTTAAAATATTGTATTGATCGACACAACGTTAAGCAACAAAAGTATTCATGTGCTGTTGTCGTTTTATTTTTCTTCGTCCAACCGTCCGTTAAAACATTTTGGGCCTTGTCCTACTACATTATGCAAAATATGGCGATATATCAACAAATATCACGCTATTTACTACTATTATATACATCGATGCTGTTTAAAAATATTAATACGATATATTATATCGATTTTTTTCACTTACCCATCCCTATTCAATGTTTCTAGGTGGTAGGATGCCTTTTTTGTTTAGTAATTCGTCTGGGTGCTTTTTCTGTCACTTAGCACAAGTTAGATCGTCAGTCCTCAGCTATGTCTGAGGACTAAGATGAAATAACTAGAACACCATATTAGTGGCTTTCGCATTCTGAAGTTGAGTAGCAACTTACCATCAGGTAAATTATTAACTCTTTTGATATTCATTAATTATGAAAAAATTGTCCGCCGACGAGTTATAATAGAAGAGGCCCCATAACATGCGATGTATATTAAAACTTTCATTTTTCTGACGTAATAAAATCATTATAATATGTCTACATATTATAAACTTTATTTCTTAATTAAACTCTAGACTAGACACTAGATTTGACTTGTTTCATCAGATATCCATCACTGTTTCGAACAAGTTTGGGCCTTTCGTGAGTATGTAGATTTTCGATCAAAACGATTCCGTCTCTTGGATCTTTGGTCTTTGTTTTCACAGACACTCTGCACCCGGAATGCCATTTGGAACACCTCCACCTCACTTGACCGTTCGCGAGGAGCTGGTATCTTTTGAAGGTATATCCGTGAAACATTAGACATGCGTGCTTCCTCCCTGGTATCATCTCGATATCTACAAATGAGAATCGTGTTAATACTTATTTAAAACAATAGTAAAAGAATTTAATGGGAGGAAATGAAATATGGAACAATGGGAAATGATAGGCAGTAGCTTCGTGTGGGTAAGTTTTGAATAACTCAAAATAAACTGTAAACTGTAAGTAGCACTCAATTTTATGTACACTTAATTCATTTTACACTCAGTAACACTTAATATCCTGTAGATATAATGATTTATAATTTTATCTTAAGGGGAAATATAACCTCAAATGGCTTAGCAAGATCCTCCGTTATGCCGAAAGTATTGCAGCATTAATTTTGAAATAAATATATGGTGAAGTTGAGGATTAATGTTAAGGTTTATGTTAGACGAAAACACGATTCCGTAAAATTTTCTCGATAGAAAAAAAATCCAAAGTTACCTCCAAACTGAACAATAAACCGCTGTTATTCATAAAATACTTTAAATAAGATCATGAAACTTTGCATACTAACTGAACTAACTATAAAGCAGTGCTTATGTTATTTACTTTTTTCTAAATACCATTATTTTCACTGTAAAAAAGAAATTACCTAAACTATCGGTGCGTAAGCTTGATTCCTGTTGCTCCGTTAGTATTGCTCCGGCTTTTGAAGGGAGAAGTTGTGTCGCTTACGATCAGAAAACACATTACGCAACAGGAAGACGTAAAATTAAAATGGGAAATAACCGTTATAAAAATAAGAAGCGACTAGGTTGGCGTTAAGAAACAGGCATAAATATGATAAACCTAATGAAATAAGTATCTAACGACCTATCTACTTAGAGTATTAGTGATTACAAACATGTCAGTACATAGCATACGACGCGCGGGGAAGTGGGGGCGAAATTAGAATTTGAGCTGACTTACTCTCACCTCTTAACCCATGTTATTAGTTATTACCATAAGTAATTGATGGTTACTCTCAGGTTTAAAATAGAATCCGTTTCAAAAAAGAAATCCCATGAAATATAATATGAGAACTAAGATGTTAAGCATGGATTTTGATAACAATTGTCTAATCCTGTAAACGTTTTGTAATAAGACCGAAGGTATTTAAGTAAAATGAAATAAAACACTATTGTGTGCGCATATTTTATTGCAATCATGGTATTACTACAAAAAATTGGGTTAAATGATATTGAGATTGAAAGGCATTAGTAAAAAGTTTTTACTAAAAACAAACTATATATTAATGGTCTTAATCTGTGTTAGTTAATAATTAGTCATAGGCTTAACATTTAAAATAAGTTTTGTAGAACTGTCATTAAGTAAAAAATCTAAATATTCTTATTTTAAAATTTCACAATAAATGTTGATGCCCAAAGGAATTATTTGTAACTATAAGTGAAATTAGTAAAAAAATCTAACAAATTAGATAAACATCTAGTTCTATAAGAAATTGTTTTCATAAGATATTGATGTGTGATTGATCAGTGTCTCCGTTCAATACAAATCTTAACATACTTATATTACCTATTTTTAGCACCTAATACTCTATTCTAAGTATTAATGGAAACTATTCACTAAATAAATGAAAATTACTTTAATACGTTTTTAATGACATGTTTCGTTAAAATAAATCTTAAAAAAAAAACATTATATTGGAAAAAGCAAATAGCTTTTAGTATTATAGTAGAATTATTAGAAAAATACAACTTTTGTTGTTAGTTACTTTAACGAACAACTTAAAAGTAGCAACTAAACTTAAATTGTTTATAGTTTATATATTATAATAGACATACATCACTATTCAATGATATAACAAAATGGCTTTTAAATTTTAGGATTGAAATTTGAAGTTACCTATGTTAAAGAAGTTTAAATAATTGCTGTTCTAACATTTTGATTTTAGTTGTTTTTGAACTTGTCTATATTCTTTTTGTATTGTAGAATGGATCAGAAATAATAAAGCTGACAGAGAGGACCATGCGGTTCGTTTTCAAGGGCCAAACGTGTACAACAAAAAAATTGTACTTATAGTTTTATTAAACAAGTGTTAACACACAGTGGCGGTGACAAACGAGCACACAGACCACCTGATCGTAAGTGGATGCTGTGGCCCATAGACATCTACATTTATCCTTAATCAAGAATCAAAATGCAAATGTGTTATCACCCCTGAGGACTAAGATGGAATGCCTCGATTCCAGTAAAAACGGTCTCCGGTTCTCTACACTACACCATACGAAACACAGCAGCATTAAGCTGCTATTTTACGCTGGTACTCTGTGAGAGCGTGGTCCTTCCCCGGTCGAATCGACCCAGTCGTGCTACAACTATAATATAGCCGCGGCATGGCTCTAACACTTGCGCAAGCGCAATGCATCATCTGCAACAGGCATAATGATTAAGCTACCCCAAGGGTAGCTATTATTCATCGAATGCGGCCACGCCATAGATAAGATATACAGAATAATTAAAATGTAAAAAAATCCAATTAAATTATCATCAGATCTACTTATAACTACGGGATCACTGTGGAAGTGTGCTAAATCGGCTTTAACGGTTAATTAAGCTCAGAGATGTCGTTTTGTGGAAACTTAAATTATATACTCTCCCTTTTGAAGTTATAGTAGAAATGCAATAAAATGTAGTAACCAAGGAGAGACATGACACAAGTCACGTAACCATTAATTAAATTAAAAAAGATTACAATATCGATTAAATTTATCGTAGACATTAAAGATGAGAAGGTTAATTCGTGAATGTTATATTGATGATTGTGCATATGATAATGAAAGGAAGGGTGGTGCTCTTTAAACTACAAATTATATACTTTTTTTCGCTTGATATGATTCATCGACGTATAATGATCGAATCAGCAGGAATAGCCTTGCAAATTAATTTCGGCGTGTGACAGTGTGTATCATCGATAGATTTTATAATGTCAATACGATCTGGTAGAGACCTTATGAATGCCTTGCATCCAGTTCTCATGCGTCGAGAGCAGTGCCATAGTACGCCGGAATGTGACATCACCTTGAATGTGTACGTCTGGTTCTTGTACATCAAGAGCGGATGTTTTCCTTTCCCCGATGGAATTAGTATGCCTGAAAAAAAAACATATCATTCAGTGTCTTATGTACACGGTTACACTGTTACGAGCAACATGCAGTCGACTATAGCAGTAACTATTGTTTTATATAGCAAAAAATTTGTTATTGCAATATAAAACTATTACCAGTCGTGATAACATTTCTCTTATTCTAAACTAACTACACATAGCAAATGGATTATATGGAAAGATAAATGAGGAAAAAATTAAAATACAGTTTTTGCATTAAAAAAAACTCCCACACTTGTCATTTAACAATAATAATGTCCTAAAGACCGAATTTCAGTTACGGTGGCAAATATCAACGTATACCAGCCATCTGCGCAAGGCCCTCTTGGCCTGGTGTATAAGTTTGGGCGCAAGCACAGTTGCACTCCCTATTCCCACTTTATCGTAGTCTGATGGGACGGCCATCCGACACGACCGAAGAGTGATCACTTGCTGGACCAACGGCTTTCATTTACATTCTTCCTGAGGCACAACGGTGAAAGTTCCTAACGCCGGGCTGTTGCTGAAATTGTCTGGTCAGATAAACCTTCTTACCGTGAGTTTGCACTGACGCGATTTTCACAAAAACATGTTTCAAACACTGTTTTCTGTCAATGTATCAAAAAGCGTTTGCATAGTCATAGTTGTTGTAGTGAAATATGTTTGACAGTTTATTGTACATTACATATTTTAACTATATTATATCTTTATAACTACAGAAACAAAATGTTTGAAAACAAATTTGTAGAAATATTGTCATGTTGAAAGATAAGTTTGGATATCTGTTGAAAATTTTACACATTTTTTGTGAATGCGAACGCCACCATCAACAGAACATGTTGTGATTTATTTTATGCGATTTGTTTCAAAACATTACGTGTTGGATGTATCTCAGTGCAAACGTACCGTTATGATCAGCACGTTTGCGCTTACGATTACTAGACCAATGAGGCAGACAAAAATATTATAAAAAAATATTAAAGTGACAATTCAAAACTTTTTGAAATTTGTTTATGGATGCTCCCAATCTTCAGGGCGAATTTTCTAATACTTGTTGTTGTTAACTTCATTATTTTTTAATAAATATTAGATTGCAGTGTGGTTGCGGTGTAATCCATCACCCTTTTTCATCCCGTGGGTGCTGTAATTGGCAACTATGGGACATACCAAAAAAATATTATGGCTTCAAGCTATGGGTGACGGAGTCAAAAGTGTGAGTTCAGAAGTGAGGTGAACTTCCGACGCAGGTCCAAATCTAGACGAAGGCGTTTTCCAAATAGACAGACTGGACACTGACGTTTGTCCTGGACTTGCAAGTTGCAACGCAGTCCGTTAAATGCGCATGACATAAATCAAAGAAAGGAATAGTCGGGCTGTTGTAAATAAAAGGATACGTGTAAAGCATCTTTATTAATACGTCATAATGTTAATATCGAAAAAATAAATAACAGTGTTTAAAAATAATTTTTAAAGTTTAAACATACAGAAAGTGCTACAATCGTTTCATAATTTTAAGTGTTGAAAGTATATTTTCAGTTGTACTTAACCGTTAGTCCTACGCGAGTGTTAAAAATACAAATAATAACTAAAATTATGACTCTATTGGATAGTTTTTGGCTAACTTAAAGTATTGCCAATGAGAAAAATTTACAGAGTAAAATTTTGAGCCACTTCAAATAAAGAAATAAATATAACGTTTTGTCCCCATGATTTTCAGCCATTTATTTTCTAGAATTAGGATTGAGGTGTTAGTAAAGTTTTTCATGTAGTGTACATAATATCTAACATACAAATTTAGTTCGTAAAGGACTCGATGGATACAGATGACTGTTTTTATGACAGTCTTTTGAGGAGGACTGCATTCAGTAAGGCAGCAGTGATGATAACGATGAAGAATTGGCCCTTAGCATATTACATTGTTATTAACATTCATTTTAAACAAAAAAACAACTACCTTATTACCTACAAGGATTACCCAGCGTGGTTCTGGCGTAATAACTGCAACTGCTCGACAACTCATGTAGAATAATGGCAAAATTAAACGACGAAAAAAAATTGATTACGTGCTATTCAATGACATAATGAAATACGATATACGCATAATATACTTATATCTACATATTCCCTAAAAGACTCAATTCAACATGAGCGAGTAGGTCGCCTCGAGAGGACCATCTGGTCTCAACAAGAGCACAGTTCTACCTCATCGAATCACAGAAATCGTAATAATAATACAATAGAAATGAATTACCGCTCGATTACTTCTAAAACCGATGTCGCTACATCTTACCGTATTACAAACATACGCAATGCACAATGATATCTAATGTTTCACATTACATTGCTTTTGTCGAGTTTGTCAACGTCGCGTGCGTCGCGTATTACGGTAGAACAAAAGCAGCAATGATACTACTGATGATGAATGATATACTGAATAATGAATACGAAAAGTAATAAATAAGTTTGCAAAGTAAAATGTAATAGTAAAGTATTCACCTACATGTAAATTAATTAAAACTATGATAATTAGTAAATAATCAACTTACTGATGAAATGTTATGCCTTTATTAGTTTAATTACACGTCTTCGATAAAATTTTACAACTGATTATGCTACAGTGCACCATAATAAATTTATAATAAGAAAAATTCACGTACGACGTTCCCCGCACAACTAAATCTCAAAATGGTGAATCATGTTCGTCAACCCATATAAGCGGCGACAAGGTCACGTGTCTATGCGACTTCTATTGTCTTATTATTATTACGATTTCCGTGATCGGAATGGAGTGAGTTATCTTATAAGCGAGAGGCGGGAAAAATTCTACACAGTGAAATACAATACGTGATAAGGGACTCGCGACAAAAACAATATTTTTAAATACCTGTACACTATAATCTCGGCGGCCGTTATATAGATTTTTTGGAAGATAATCCCGAGCACGTGCGAATAAAGCTACACCGGATCACTATAATATGCACATAAACCGCATTATGTACGTAAAATATAATTTCTAAATATCAATTAAAAAGATTTGTATTAAATTGAACTACTGGAGAAAAAGACCAAAGTATTTGCGCAACTTCAGGTGTGTGCGGGTTTACTGCCATTGCCATGATAAAACAGGACTTTTGCTCGCAGTATTCATCAATTCGTTACAAGCCTATAAAATTCCTCTGCTGTACATAGGACTCCTACATATATTGCCCCATAAGGAGCAGATTTGCCATAGTTTGGGCTGTGCTCTTGTTCATATACCTTTGTCGCCTCTTACGATAACCACGCGATGATAGGGGGTAGTGGAAAATAATGAATACATAATGCCGTCCTTTTCAACTTTTAGTAGCGAGACCGTTTGTATCGCGAACGACTAGGGTTACTTTCGTCAGCCGTCGTAAAATAAAAGAGATGTCAGCGACGACGCTAATAAACATGGTTAAATATCAAGAATATACCAATGAAAAAATATGTTAGAAAAATTAATAAAGACAGATAATAAAAGAGTAAACGAGTTTAATCTTACATGTGAAACTACAAAAAGATTAAAGAGTAGTTTTTAATTTTGATTACACATAGGTACAATTACAAACACACACATACACAAGTCACATATATAAAACTCATATGTCGTCACACATACAAAGGAGGAAGCCCGTATCCCGTAGATTGCATAGTTAAAATAATTCTCCTCATCTTCAACAGATCGTATCCCCGTTCTCCAATAGTAAGATGGATTTGTTTTAATCGGCACACTTGTCAGGCGCTGAATTTGACGCTGATCCTTGCTGTTAGTCTAAGCATTTTAGACAAAGAATAGGATTATATGTAAAGATTATCGAAGGTCACAAGAACTCTTGACCATTTTCTTAAATCTCCTGTTACGATACTCACAGAATGCAGAGTTGATATATTCCTCCCTTTGTTTTCTTATTCCAGTTTAATATATAGTAATGTTACTGAGAGCCACGCTGCAGCTATATTATGGTTGTAGCACGAATGGGTCGGCTCGCCCGGGGGAGGACCACAATCTCACCGAATACCAGCTTAAATTAGCATCTAAATGCTATTGTGTTTCGTATGGTGAGTGTAGAGAACCGGAGGCCCTTTTTACTTGATACGAGGCTGCACTTCATTTTAGTCCTCAGGGATAACAACGCATCTGCCTTTTGATCCTTATTCGAGGATAGATCTAATTGTCTATGGGTCACAGCATCTACTTATCATCAGGTGGACTGTGTGTTAATTTGTCTCCCGCATTCTATAAAAAAATATACAAGCGAGCAAAATTAAACTCCAAAGCGAATAACAATAGCTTTAAGTTATAAGTAGAATAACTTAAAACAATTCAAATATTATTCCAGGCTTAAGAATACAATCTAACTCGACTATTTTACATGCCACATATGAGTTTGTGCACAATAAGTAGGGTTAGGCAAGAAAATACCGATGCGAACAGGATGAAGCACAGAACATAGATCGCGCTAAGTATAAACTTCTATCTATAAGATTAATTATTTAACTACTATGAAGAAAACATTTCATTCTATAGTAAAAATGTGTAACCGAGAACGCAGTTTAACATGCGTAAAGTCAGCTACTTAAGTTCAGTTTACGATTTTTTTTTAATATTTCTATTTTTTATGTATTTATTTGGTTACTTAGTGTACAAATCTCAACTATTAGTTACTGTGTTTGTTGGGGTTGCCATCCGTAAAATTTTTAACGTTTTCATTAGAAAGCTTTTTTCTTTACTCTCACGTCTACACTTAATATTCGTTTGATACCCCACCTGGTTGTTCTCTGGACGGCACTCAAACTATGATAAGTCCGGGAAAATCCGCACAGATGATCGACCTGTGTTGGTAATTAAACAAATAAACCTATTTATGGTTAAAATTGAATCCTACCTTTTTGTAATAGTCTATGGATCGATTTTTTTAGTTTTAATTTTGCTATGGACAAATTTTATCTGAATTGTTGATTCTATATTATAATGTCTGTGGCAATAAAGAGTACTGTAATAAGTGAAATATTTTAAAAGAACAACTGTCACGATGTTATTGAAAAAAAAAACATTTAAACATTACATTATTAAATTGTACAATTCAATGTTTATATAATGCAAGGCCCCAGTAGAGGGCGTTCGGCGAGGCGTATGGAGTAGCGGTGGGTATACATTTTAGCGAACGTTACTCAAGACATCGAGTTAGTAATAAATAACCGTTTGGCATGCGCGCCAAACGAGCCTTCCCCTCCCCCAAATCTCTCGCTTTACTTTTAGGCTTCAGTGAAGAGTTCGTTAGAGCGTGTGGTGTATTTGGAATAAAATAATTACCACAGTGCGATTATTCAGTAATTCCAGCCGTTTCTAGGTTAGGTTTAGGTTCTCTAGAGAGGGACATTTTGTTGAGTGGAGAAGACATAAAACCACGTAGCCTATGTAGGAAACAGGATAACATTATAGTTTTTTTTTTTTGATATCGGGTGTCATTAAAATGGCAACTTTTAGAGTTCGAACATATCTATAGTGTACAAATAAGCTATATTATTGCTGGGATATTGTATAACATTAGAAATATTTACCTAAGTTTTTGATTAAGACCGTATCCTGATTGGTCTATACGACACTGATGCTACACGACGCAACGCGACAGCGACGCGATTTGTCCATCTCGCAACATCATTATCTATATGTCATTAAACATACGTGTGTCGAAACCGACATCTGTTGAATTATTGTCTCATATCATTTTTAAGCTATTGCATAGCTTCTATCGCGGGCCTTGAGCGCGGGGACCGAATCCAGAAATTCCATAACGAAAAAAAACCTCACGCTCCCCACTCCGACGGGCACGGAGGTGTGGCGTTGAAAGCCGTGCATCGTCTAACGTCGTTTTAGTTCGGCAGACTTCGGCACTCGGCAGACTTCGGCACGGTGTTTGTATGCGTGTGCACTAGCTGCTAACTCAATGATAAAAATTCCTGAATATTAAAAATATTTTAAACAATATTAACTTCTCATTTATTCAATAAGAGAAAAAAAATTGTTTTCTTATCGGTCACCACGCTCAAAAAGTGTAACTTGATTTAATATCAAAGACTTAACTGCATAAATAAAATAAATAAATGATTATAATTGCATAAGTTGATAAAAAATGCTATGCAATAGCTTTACCGCGGCAGTCACCGAGTGCCACACGTATTTTTTTTCTATGTATGGATGCCTGTATGCAAAATTAGCAAAAAATAAATCCACTTTACTACGTCTTATTATGCCCAGAAGATCGTTTGTCCGTTTATTGGCTTAAAGGGCATTCCATCTTTGTCCTCGGAACCATCATCTGTACTGACTGTTGGCCCGTTTGTCACTTCAAGTAAATAAATAAAAACTTGAGGACGATATTGTCACAAAATAATTAGTGTATGAAACTAGCCTGAAAAAATCACTGAAAAATGTCGTTAAATAAAACTTCGTAAGTAAGCCTCCAACAAGGAAGAGTTAAATCAGTTTCGTATGGACCAATTCAGAAACGACCAGTAATTCACGTAACCCCAAATTACATATTATAAATGCTTTCGATGATGTTTATGGCTATATCTAGACATTTCCGATATATTTATACTATCATACTAGTATTAAAGTCTAAGAGGAGTAGGAATACAAAATTACATGCCGAAGAACGAATAGGAGTTTTGTAGCGGCTTTATTATGTCTTCAGAATTCTCTGGAAGCCTTGGAGGTGGGTGATCATGTGGTTTGTATGCAAAAGCTCGCGTCCCGAAGCTGATCGCGGATGCTCTGCAGCCTTTCAATCTGCGAGAACAGTACCAGGATATTCTTCCATTGGCGTTTTTCTTCTGGTAACTATATGTGAATCCATTTAGAAGTAGTAATGGATGCTTTACTCCCCGTTTTGTCCAAAGAAACGTTCCTGTGAAAAAAAAAACAAGTTAGAGATGTCCGTTGCATTATTTTAAGCAGAATAAAATAACGCATTCCCGATAAAAATCACGCAAATAAACAACAATTTAATAACATTTATTAAATTCCTTCATATTAAAAAAATATTGCTTTAACAAATATTTCTAATTTTCAAACTTTAGTAGAATATTAAAAAAATCCAAAATATTATAATAAAATATCGCTGTGCATTAAATTGAAGATATAGGAACATTATAAAGTATTACCACTACAGGTTCAAAATCATTTTTACATAATATTATGTAAATTATAGCTTAGCTAGCTACCTTTTAACACAACTTAGTGATGCAATATAATGCAAGATATATAAAGGAACTAAGTAACTAAGTAACAGGAATTTTTCATTTTGCACACATGAATTGCACATTGATAAACAACCAGATCAATCATTTGTACGTCACAAAAAATTTCGTTACGAAATAGAATCCGGGATCTGCTACGCCACAACCAAATACTCAACCTGGCCAAAAAAAAATGATGCAGAGGCTCTTTTTTAGTTTACTTCCAAATACGAAATACTTATAAAATGTAACAAGAAATCCCAAAATTTGAATAAATTTTTCTTTAAAATTATATACTATTTATATTTCAAATCTTAATAACATCAGAAATTTGTAGGTTAAATTACTTCTGCACAATACGGTCCAATTGAAATTAAATGATAATATATCACATTTATATCACTAGCCGCCATAATAAGAAATTTTACATTATAATTAAACATCATAAATTTGTAGGTTAAATTACTTCTGCAAAAAACATATAATTTTAATCCCCCCCCTTTTTTAATATTTTTGTAGGTTAATCTTTGCACAATACGGTCCAATTGAAATTAAATGATAATATATCACATTTACATCACTAGCCGCCATAATAAGAAATTTTACATTATAATTTAACTACCTGTCTCTGCGATAGACGCGATGAAGATTTACTAAATAACTCGACCACCGCACCACCTATCGTATATAGATATAAAGAATTTGTTGTGTTCTAACTTGACTACAGCACCATCTACTGGATCCTAGCATAAAGTAATATATTGCGTAAATATGACCCCAATCGTTCAGAACGATCAATACACACGCACTAAAGCTGGCTTTCCACTATGGGATATAATATACATATATATTATATCCCGAAATATAAATTATACCCCGCGATTGCCCTTCACACTATGATATATATCTTTTAAACAGTGTGCGTTCGTCATTGGAGGATCTGAGGACGTAGCGGAGGCGCGGAAGGGTGTGCGGGGTACAGGAGGTGAAATATAATATGAAAATATCGCTCGGTCGATCGAAATAATATTTATAGTTTGGGATGTAATATATATTATATCTCAGTGGAAACGGTTCCATTTAAAAGTACGTGTAGGTGAGCGATACTAATTTATATCTCGTGATGTAATATAAATTATATTATATCCCATAGTGGAAAGTGGGATTAACAATTATATCCACAAAGAATTTTAATCGTAACTCATTCTTATTATTCTTCATCACTCTTATTATTATAAATATATTATAATTATAAATATCCGAAAATATATATATTTAACACTAATATTAATATTATTATCAAAACGAGCTTATGTAACAACCATCAACCATCATATGTATCAATAAACCCTTAGAAGGATACCATTGCGTTTAATAAAACGCGGCTTCCCGTGGCTGTGGCGGCCGTAGTGGTCAATTATATCGTAATGAACGCCGGTAAAAACCTTCGCGGTACACCTCCTTGCCGTGCCAGGCTGAACCATCGTGCACCTCCACTGTATCACTTCGTGCTGTATCTTCTGCAAGCTGTAGGAATACCCTTGAAACACTAGCAACCGGCCGCCTCTCTGCGACTGGGCAAAGGTAACTGAAAAACGTTGTTGTCATAACTAACTGCATCTTCAGACGAATAATTTTACACAAACTCTTGATTTGGCTTCGATAATGCAGTCTTTTCATTTCTAAAGGTTATAAAAAGTTAAAGTTACGGACTATATACTTCAGACTCCTCTCATTTTTGAGATTGTTCAGAAATAGTGTGTCCGCCTCGGTGTTCCAGTGCGTGTTGGCAGGATTCACTTCATCACCATCACCATCATCAGCGCTCCTAAGGCGCGCCACTTAGCTAGGTCTTCGGCTACACACATCCATTTTCTACTTCTTATAGTTTTGAAATATTAGTTCGTAAGATTTTACTTAGTTCGTTTTTGTGTAGGGTGTAAGAATGAATATTCACCATACCGTCGCGTGAGTATTGTAAGAACCGACGGAGAAAAATCCAGGAAATGGACAGCAACGTCTTCCTAATAACAATTTAAAAAAAATACAATTGTCTACTGCATGCCAAACGTAGCAACTATACAAAATATCCTTGCTACAAGAATGAATGGGCGGAAAATGATCAATGAGAACATGTTCAAAATTGGCCTTTTGGTAAGCTATATCGGTAACGCAATGGATAAAACGGAGTCCTATTAATTTCAGTCCGCTGTCTGGCTTTACGTCTGTCTACCTTTCTATCTGTCTGAATTGCTGTCCCCAATTGCTTCCGGGCAATCTAGTACAAAAGACTTGTAGGACTAGAAACACGGAGTACTAATTGTGCTGCGATTATTACTATCTGAAAATATCTGATGCAATGTCTAAATAATAATGTATTTTGTTGTAGTATTGGTATTTGTTTTCAGTCATGTAAAACGTAAAGTGAATTTAATCCATCAAAATTTAAGTGTCCAATATAATTTCACAAGGTTAATGTTGTTTTCTGTACAGTTCACATAACTTAAAAGCGCAATATGTTTACATGTGAATAACAGTGAAATTTTATGCACAGATATTTAGTTTTTAGATGTTTTAAATTGGGAAAAAATTTACATCTACGTCATTCAATTTAACACACAATTCGTCGTCAATACAAATTCGTTAATTCTCTTCGCCTACTATAATCGCCCCGTCTCGCAGGTGTATGACTAGTAGCAAGATGCATTTGCACCATTGACGATGGTCTTCGTCACCGTTCTGAGTATTTCGCGTGTGGCGTATATTTCGTAAATGGCGAATGTAGCAAGTATGTAGAAAGTTTCAGAAAGTTCTCACGGTTTCCGATAAATGGCGTTATTACCATTTCATTTTTGTCAGACGTGCTATATTCAGACCGGTAACGGAGACAGTGCGTCAGAAAAGGACAGTCAGACGTCTGATACCAAGATCAACAATCAGCCCGCTAATAATTTGGCGGTGGCAATTCCTTCAAAAAAAAAAGGGTGTCAGCAGTTGAATTTTAAGAACCAGAAATATTATACGAATATCGATCTGTCTAAATCCGCGAAAGCAATAAGTTTGTCTTGGTATAAATTCTTGTCAACTCTTAAGACTTCCACGGGAAAATGATACCGAGAAGCTGTGATGGATTGTTTTTTTATAGCATCGGGTGACAAACGAGTACACAGTCCACGTGATCGTAAGTGGATGTTGTGGCCCATAGACATCCACATTTATCCTCAATCAAAATGCAAATGCGTTGTCACCCCTGAGGACTAAGATGGAATGCCTCCAGTCCAGCAAAAAGGGTCTCCGGTACTCTACACTCACCATACGAAACACAGCAGTATTACGCTTATATTTTATGATGGTATTCTGTGAGAACGTGGTCTTGCCCTGGTGAAGCCGACCCATTCGTACTACTACTACAATATAGCTGCAGCGTGGCTCTAACACGTAAAAGGATTCTTACGATACAAATACACTTGCATTCTTATAGTCAAAATCTTCAGTGATCGTCTATATGTCTGCCAAACGTGAGGATTCCAAAAAATACCTCTAATGGGAGCGACCAATGTCCAAACATTAGATTTTTATCACAAAATACAAGAGACTACGTTTTCAAAAAAATACAATTTTGGTTGAATTGAAAATTACCCTCTTCCCTATTTTTACCGAGAAGCAGTAATGCACATTCTGCTGTGTTCCTGTTTAAATGGTAAGTGAGCGTATATAATTTACAGGCTGTAAAATTACTCCACCTTAGCCTTTAGAGGCGATAAGATATCTTTAGTCTGCTTTATTTTATGTTGCTTGGAGGTTTTTAGATATCGATATATCAATTTCTCCACGCTTGTTTGTTATCTTTTTTTTTTTTTGAAATTTCAAATACACAAACACAAAAATTCGAAATTTGAGACAATTTTTTCAAAAAAAAAAAAATTAAAAACTTATTAGTCATTCATTTATATTTTTATTATAACGTACATTTACACACGTAGTGGTCACAAATATAGGTTAAGCAAATCTAAGCTCTAATGTAAAGCCCAGAAGAGCTAACATAGAATTTAGGTGGAGTGTGATTATGTTTGTGCACTGCTTTGACGAAGCGCCCATCCAGGGTCAGAATGATATGGGCGTTGCATCCTTGGGTGCAGCGGTATCGTATAGCCGACTTCAATCTCTTACCAGCACCGTACGTATAACCGTCTACCATCTTGTAGACCTTTCCGTTAGTAAGCGTTATATCTTCAACCTCTTTGCCTGCAAGGATATAAAGTTAAAGTTAAGTTTCACCCTATACATATACATCTCATTCTTGAACAAAGGCCAAATTTTATGGAGCAGTCATGCAGGTTTCTTCGTGAGGTTATCTGTCACCAATTTACCGTAGGAGTTATAATTAACTATTTCATATGTGTGTGTCAAAGGGGTTCAAACCAGAGTTATTCGCGTACTCTGCGATTTACGAGTACTTAGCCCCTAAGCTATAACGGCTTTAAAGTAACTGCAACATAAATGATGTCTGAGATTTATAGTTTTGTGCTTAAGCTATGATTTAAGAAGAGTTCTTCTCGCGAAAGAAGTTTTCTAGCCGCAGAGACAGTCAATTTACATTTGACATTTGAGTCCACATATTGCCGTGGGGCTTCTTTCGTGAATAGTATTTTCGAAAATAGTCCTTGCTGTTAATATTTAAATCAGGGAATTAATATGTGAAAAAACCCAAGTTAACTTGGTGCATTATTAATAACTCAATATATTAAGACTTTAGTTTTATGTCAACCTTTACGCAATATCCTCCCAAAACACACGTGACCTTAACAAATTATCAACAGAAAATATCAATTGACATAATATTTCGTGAAACTTGACATCACGATCAATATGTTACGCCGACTGACAAATATCAGCAGATATAGCTTTGAACAAAGACTACTTTAAAGGTTTTTGGCTTTGAATCAAATTATGTTGAGTAGTTACTTTTGTAGGACTTTTGTCTTCATTGAGATAGAGGTAAGCCTTACAGCCTGAGGAACAAGGAAAAAATTGCGTTTTATTAAAAAATTAAAGTATCAACTGGGATTTTAAAAGAAATGTACATATTTATTACATTAGCTGATGAATTACACCAATAATTTAGTCATATGATAATTAGAGATGGGCCGAATATGGATTTCACCGAATACGAATATTCGGCCGAACGTTCGGTTAAACTTTTACCGAACCGAATATTCGGCCGAACATTATTCGGCAAGATCACCTCGGTACCTAACAAATTTATGTCGAAAGTTGTTACCATAAAACGCGCAGGATTAGCGTCGAGCCCTTCTCCTCGCTCCTCCGCAATATGACATGTTATTGCTTCATCTAGTACTGAACAATTCGCAGGCACATGCTCCTTTTTTTTAGACTATGTTTGTCAAAAAAAAAAAGTATTTCGTTGTCATTCTTAGTGAAAATTGATAATTATATGATAAAAATGAGTGGCAGGAGATCCACTATTTGGACTTATTTTAGAGAAACTAACGATCAAATTAAAGTAAAATGTACTAATGTAAAGTAATGTTTTTTGAATGATTCCAAAAAAAAATTATCAAGTTTTCTATTTGCAATATTTGGAAATAAATCTACAGTGTCGCAAAAACGTAACGCTATATAAGTAGATTTTACCTATAAATATACTATACTACCATAATACTTTCAACAGTAAAATTATTAAAGACTTTCAATTAATTGAATGAATAAATGAATTACTTAATTCGTACATTTCAATACAGTGGACACTTGGAGTACCATTTTAACGAATGTTCGGTGATTTAGCCGAATATTCTGTAAAGCTGCCGAATATGCCGAATACCGAATATAAAATGAATATTCGGCCCATCTCTAATGATAATACCAACTACGTAAATATTATATCGAAATGTGGTAGCCGGCTATAAAGTAGATCCGCCAACGGGGCCGGAAATGTGTTTTAGGGCGCAAGTATTGCCCCATGACCTCCACGTAACGGAATCAAGATCCTTTGTACAGCAGGAAATGGAGGACGGGTAGGCGCGCTTTGTCTATGTGACAAAGGTGTAACGCAATTGTGTTTAATAGGCGCAAGTCCGACATATCCCACAAGGGTCCACGGTGGCGTTTCCTCGTGAAATAAAAAGAATGCATTGTCACAAGTCTCGCTGTAAATATAACAGAACGCGAGTAACCCGGGTTCGATCAACAACAACTGTTCTTCAAATTTTTCAATAAAAATGAAGTTTTCTGTGATGCATATACATCTACATCTATCCGTGACGAAGAATAAAATTGTAAATCCGTTTGTCACCTTTGAGAATCATGAGAATGCCACAATCTGTAAATTTTATACTTGCTCTCTTTATAATTCAAACTAGAGCACAGAAGTGCACTCGTCGCTGCTTGATGGCAGAAACAGGCAAGATGGTGGTACCCATCTAGAATAGAAAAGGACCTTATATATCTTGGACATATTTTTGTTTCACCGGCTTCGAATTGTCAGCTGTTATACTTTTCAGGGCACAACTATGACATTAACATGATATATTATAATCTGACAATTGACTAATATGGTGAATCTCTTGATGAAACTTCCAATGTTGAACACGAGTCTTTCG